AACGTTACGGGACATCGAGCGAGCCGGATGCTTCGCGACGGAACACCGACCGCGCTCTCTCGGGCGAAGGAAACGTGTCCTCTGCCCATGCGCTTCGCTATCACATTTATAAATTAGATTTCGGATCTCTCGGATCAGCAACAATCACTGGTTTACATCGTCAACACGGAAAACGGGCTTAACGCGTTCGCCACTTTGCTGTTTCATTCGCAGGCGACCGTAAAATCTGGAGAAGAAATTAGGGAAACTTTAAAAATTCACGAATCCAATTCTGTTGGATACTTTTTCAAAAGTATTTTCACCAGATGCTCTGATTTTCTCGCTGAATTTAATACAACTGAACGACGTGTAATTTGAAGATCGACACTTTGAGTCAATATGGACCCAAGTGCCACTCGATGGTAAAATTACGATAGGAAAGTCAACTGATACAATTATCGAAATAGAATAATGGTTTCGAGTACGCGCGTAGCGAGCGCGTTAAGCGAACGTCAAGTAGAATCGGCACGATCAACAACGGAATATAGACCAGGTCGGAAAGCAACGCGCGATTGGACGTAACTTTGTTTTCGCCATCGTGAACCGTCGACTGGGGAATTGGTCGTTTCGGTTCGATTCGATTCGGTTCAGCAGAAAATATAATGATCGGCGATGCTGACACTGTAATCGCTTGGTAGACGCTAGACGCCTCGTACAACAATCTCAAGCAACGAAGCTTCTCGGCTGGACAATTCTCACTCCCATAAAAGATTCCCGAATATCACCCGAGAACGTGTATAATACTCTATTCATTGTGCCGAAATGAGAATCTCAACGGAAACAACAAATCGCTTCGTCGATTCGTGCTCCCGATCGTCGCCTTCGGTCCAAACCAATTCCTGTCGCGTCGGAACGATCGAAAAAAAAACCGGTCCGCGTTGATCGGTTCGCGGGGGTGTGTTCGTCACGATGCCGTCGATTAAATAGACCTCTTACTCTCGTAAACATTCAATAAATTCTTTGTAACGCCACTGCAAAACATAACTTGGAAACAGCGAAAAATGCAGTAATTACAGGGGCACGCTATGCGGAGGCTACGGATCCTAAAACGAGTGCGACCGACGGTCGCGGGGGCGGGAACTTCGGGGGGTGGGCGCGTGAAACGAGAAAACGATCAGCGTTTTGGCCAGGTGTCGAGATCGCTGTGACCTCGAGCGATACG